TGCCTCAAGTCTTCATCACCCCTCTGTTGGAATCCAAAGTTCCAACATGTCTTTCATGCAAATAAAGTCAAGTTATAGTCAGTAAATGGGCAAAACTGGAACTCTTGGCTTCGTCAAAATTAAAACCAAAAATATATATATATATGTATACTTTTTACACTTCTGACAACCAAATAAGATTTGATAGATAAATTTTTGCCACCAATTTCTTGATAATTTAGAGAAAAAAAACTTCGAGTTTTCATCATATTTAGTTTTAATTCTTTAGAAAACTTCTTCTTCCAGTAGTAGACACAATGCCTATAGCCCATTTTGTAGCTCTACGCTAAAATATAGCACACAGTAAGGCTTAACATCGAAGTCCTAATAATCAATTAATTATCCAACTTATCCAAGCCCAATTTTCTCACCTTCACGACTCTGTTAAAATATCTTTTCTCCCTTCACTTTCTGTCAGAGGCTCTTCACAGGAACCCTAAGGGGTTTTCTGCTGAAATTCTCCCCATTCTGTGTTGGTTCAGCTGTCATCTCAGCTATCACGCTTCAAATGTTGTTTGTTTGTTGTTGGGACCTCTTGGGCCCATGATTCGGTTCTGGAATAGACCTGTCTCCAAGCTCTTGATCTGAGGAACCTCTGCATGGTGCCGTTTTTGTGGTGTTATGTGTTTGACTATGTTCCTGAGACTTTGAAGTTGGGGTGGCCTCGGCCTATCAACATTCTACCCTTACTAACTTGGTAGCTCATTTGTCACAGTCGGGGCCCAGTTTGGCACTGGTTCCTGTCCTCCAACCTTCCCCTTCCCAACCTCTTCCTTTCTCACCCTCCCACGATGCCACGGTTTGATGATTTATTTGATGACAGACGATCCGCCAACAGCAGTACCAATGACTACATCATCATTTTGGGGCCAGTGGGATCTCTTCTCTTGAATTTTATTCATCAGTGGGTACCTTTTCTCTCCAATGTCTGGGTTCACAGAGTGCTCTCAGAGCATTACATTATCCCCTTTATCTCCCTTCCTCCATTATAGAGTGTTCCTGTTACCTTCTCTTCTTTTTGGGATCCCTTAACATGCCAGCATCTGTCAGAGATGGTTTAGGTCCTCATTACACAACAGGCTATCAGACCAGCTCCACCAGGTTCATGGAGGTGTTACTCCTGTCTGTTTGTGGTTCCCAAGAAGACTGGGGACTGGCATCCTGTCATCAATTTATCCAATCTCAATCAGTATGTTCACACTCCTCACTTTGCCAAGAAGACATACATTTCTCTGTGGAGGGCATTTTCTCCAGGATGTTTTTAACATTTACCTACACATTCCTGTGACAGAGCATTCACATCCGGATCTTCAGTTTGTCCATCGGGGGTTGTACCTATTTTGCACCTTACCTTTCAGCCTAGCCTCAGCCCCATACATGTTTTGTTGTGTGGTCCACTCTTTTGCTCTGCATATTCATGCCATGGGGTTGTGCTTCCACGTTTATATGGACGACTGACTTCTTATTGCTCATTCCAAATGCGAATTGGCCTGTCACACATGTCAACTCCTGGCTGAAGCTGCGCAGATAGGCTGGTTGGTCAAATTGGAAAAGTCTCCTTTATCCTATCTAATACCTTATCTATTTGGGTGTTTTCTTCAACTCCCATCTCAGTTGGGCCTAATATACTCGTTTCTGGCTCCATTCTATGGAATGGACCATTCACCATTCAGAAAGCCTTGTCAGTTCCCTCACTTGCAGCTCGTGAGGTAGTCCTCCATGACCCCTGGGAAGGGCCCATATGTGGTTTCTTTAATGTGTCCTTCAAGATCAGTGCAACCTTGCCTGGGTTCCCTTGGATACTTCTATATCCCTTCCCTCATCCCTTGTAGATTATCTTCATTGGTGGTTGAACAGAGCCCACACATTGGTGGGAGTCTTGCTTCCTCTTCCGTGGCCAAATTTACATCTGTTCATGGATGAATCCCTTCAGGGCTGGGGTGCCTGGGTGGATCACCAGGAAGTTTGGGGTCATTAGTCTGTAGAGGAGAGTTTTCTTCACATCAATGTTCTCGAACTCCTGGCTGTTTGTCGGGCTTTGGATAATTTTCTTTCTTTTGCAAGCCACTGGTTGGTTATGATCAAACAATTTTACCATGCTGGTTTATATCAATCACCAAGGTGGCACCAGGTCTAGATCCCTGTGTTTTTGCACTATGGATCTTCTTTATTGGGCCCCCACACATCGAATTTGTTGGATGGTGTGTCATGTACTTGGTGCTTTTGATCTTGTAGCCAATCATCTTTCTCGACTGGATCAAGTTTATCTTACGGTGTGGTCCCCGCATCCTGCTGTTTTTCAGTGTCTCTGTCTGCATCTGGGCATGCCCCATATCGATGCCTTTGCAACTGCCCTCAATCACATATTACCTTCAGGCTCTTTATTTTCACAATTCTGTAATACACAATCAATATCTTGTCCAATGTGAGTATTCACAATATTTTTTTTGCAAAGGACACATCATTATTGTTATCTAATACAGGATTTAAAATTCTTTAAAAATTGGCCAGGCATGATCCAGTGGATAACATACCAGGCTGTGATTCTGAAGGTCCAAAGTTTACTGTAATACTAAATACTACTTCACATTTATAAAATTGGGTACAATATAAGAGCAACAGATAGTCCCATTATTTGGTTTAAAATCCTGTAGCAAATGACTGCTTTTCTTCTCATTTCTTGTTCAAAATTAGGGATGGCTATACCTGAACCATAAATAGAGATCCAACCTGGCTATTTAGCACATATTTGCATAAGGTGACTTCAGATGGAAAATACTTTTTAGAGTATTTTAACAATCCTCTATCATTTATTGAATTGTACTTAAGTTGAATTCAAAATAGTGTTATGTCTCTGTATGTTTGTTTGTTAATTTTTCTATGATACAAGTCCTTTCTTAAATAAAACTTGTTTATTCTTCCTCAATATAACTTTGCAATACACTTAATTTTCACAGTTGCACACACTATAGTTCACAACAATTCACTCACTTTCTACCGCGCTTAGCTCAATTGTGCGTCTCTATCTCCGCCTGTCAGCAACTATAGTTCCAATCTCTGTATCTGCTATCCTCGGTTCACGCCGACCGTAACTGCTCTCCTGGGTTCCCCACTCTCTCTCCTTCTCTCTCTCTTCTTCGTCTAGCGCACTTATATACAATAATACCGCC